GGGGAGGGAGGGAAAGCTTCTGGTATCAAGAAAAAGGAAATAGTGAACAGCTTAAGGCATTGCCAGTTATTTGCGTTCAGACAAACAAATTAACCTTTTCCAACAGCATGAAAGATTGAATATTACAGCGGTCTGAAAAAAAGTCAGGAAAAAACCGCATCCAACTACAACCAAGCCACACGCGAGAAGTGTGCGTGCGAGAGTAAATGTATGCACTTCTCCTGCAAGAGCATATCCCCCCCCTTAATTTAACACAACGCTACAAAAATTGGAGCATGAACTAATTATGCATTTTTGGAAGGAGGAAGGGAAGTGCATTTTTGCCCACTGAAAAATGTTACTAGAGTCCACTATTATATTTGTAAATTGTTGCTTTGATAGATCACTTGGCATTTGAGGGGTTGAAAATCTGCCAGTTCTTCTGAGATCAATAGGAGAGAGGGCCGACGCCGGACGGAGGCCAGAGCAGCAACGCGTGGTCAGTACAGCACATGCCGCCTCTGTGCGCTGGCACCGCGTCCTGCCTGCCAGGCTCTTTGTCTGCTGCACAAGACGAGCAGGAAGAAGTGCTTTATCTAGCAGTAATGATGATTATTGCAATGCAGTCCTTATGCTGTTACTCTTCACTAGTTAAAATTCTCTGCTGGGTCTTAGCCATTCATGCAAAATTTTTTTTTCATTATTCATAGCTCATTGACATCCTGACTCAAGAAACAAGAGGGTTTTTAAAGCATCTATTCCTATTTACTGTATTTAACAAATAAAAAGAAGCAATGATTCTGACAACTATGGGGCATGCAGAGGGAAAAAAATTCGATTTTCTTTTGTACATCAGAATCCAGTGTCATGATATAAAAAGCACTTGCTGCAAGCCAGAGTTTAGCAAAATAGTCAGTTCTGTATCTGCTAGGTGTTGTGTTTGCAGGAAGACCTGGATTTCACAGGTTTTTTGTTTTTTTAAGGAGAGAGATGCAGCTGTTTTGGCTGGCAAGAGTAAGTGTAGCAGAGCTGATATTAGATGGAAGGTAGCTGGAGGAAATGGTGGCACGCCGAGCCATGTTACAAGCCTATCTGTCTGGTCCTTCGTATCACTGGCAGCACTGCCTTCATCGCCTCTCCATAATTTTTAAATAAGCTCTAGCACAGGGCTCTGTATTCTGGCCTGAACTCAGTCCCGCTTGTTATCAAGTCTCTGGAGCTTGGTCCATTCACAGTAGGTTCAGACTGGCTCTGTGGATCATTATTTTAAGGTGCACTCTGTGCCAGCCCGTGTGTTGAGGAGAGCTGTTTAGCCCTTAGGCAGCATCCGCCGCCTCTGTCAATGCAGTGAGGCTGATCTGATGCTGATTTTCCCCGATACGGAGCTCTGAGCCAGGGTGACACATTGAGGGTGTTCTGCATCGCTGGTGGCACCGCACGGGGAGCCCCTCGCCCCGGCGCTGGAGAGCAGCAAGCAGGAGGGCAGCACCCCAGGGGGCAGGAGCTGTACACAGGAGTTGGCGTTTAGGCTTTATATTAACTCTGTAGTTGCAGTCTGCAATGGTCCAGAACTAGCGATGACATCACACGGAAGCTATGTCATCAGATTAATTTGGAGAAGGATTATAGCCACAGGCACTCTTAAAACACCCAAACCCCTGGTACGCAGACATGGCCATATGCAGGCAGACATTAAAAGGTGGCTTAACCGAGATAACGCCAATCAGGATTTCAGAGTTAATTATCACAGAAAGGAGATGAACCCTGGACTAAACACCACACTTTGGGGGAGTTAATGTTGAAAATTATTCATCATCTATTTTCATTATAATACTGTTTCAAATTGTCTAGCAGGCAAACTACTGCAGAGGGGAATGGAAGCCCTGGCATGGCGAACTCAAAGACCCTGCAGATATTTGGGCACAAGATCTACTTGGATAAAACCTCTGGAGTGAAGACAGACAAATAAGACCCAGGTCTCCTAATTCCCAGATCCCTGCTCCGGACACAACGTCTCTCTTGCTGAAGATGACCTTTAAAACACCATAGATACACACCCCACCAGTTTTTGGTGCTAGTGCTACACATGGTCCTTCAACTTCTGCCCTGCCTTCTCATTCCTGAGCAGAGTTAACTGCTCTCACCTTTTGAGCTACACTTAAGCTACATAAATTTCTCATATTTATGGAATTTTCCAAGGACTGTGACTACATTGCTGCTGATGGTCTTGTTGACAGAAATTTCAGCAGTGAAGTAAGATTGCTGGTGGCAGATCCAGGTCAAACATCTCGAGTGCTGAACTAGAGAATGAGCTGGGTGGCGTTTGTTCTGCAAGGAGGTTCTCCTCCGTTGGGATCTGCCGAGATGACAACAATGACAATATTTTACAGTGTGGTTGCTTCAGTTTTTGTGTCTGTGTGCTTCCACTGGCATGTGCCTTGAGCACATCTTTCCCTGAGCTGTTTCTGCTTTAAGCTTTATGTCTGCATCCCATGAAAAGAAAGACTCCAGCAAAAGGTACTAGGTAGCTGTGTAGGTACACAGCACTCCATCTCTCATGGTAGAGAGGAGGAATGCAGGGAAGTTCTCAGGTCAAGGACTTGTGCTGGATCAGAAGCAAGTCAAGAAGCCAGACTGCTCCCGTGAAGTCTTGCAGGCTGAGGCGACTTCCCTGGAAGACCCCCAAAGGCATCAGAACTTGACCTTTTTTGGCTGCTGTGTTCCCCAGAGGGAGATATGCAGCTGCAACCAGTCTGAAACTGTTCCAGGATGACGGGAACAATACAAGCAAGTCATCCTTTGAAATGCAGTCGGTTTGCAGGCAGATCTAAGGATACCAGATACTCCTGTAAACAATCCCGAGGTAAGATGTCCGCTCAGCAGCAGGAAAGCTCATTCCCACTGCAGAGCCAGGACACCATGCCCTTCTTCACCTCCCCTTCTGTCACCCCACCAGGAACCCATCATGCACGAGGGGTGCTTGTCAGCAAGGACGACATTGCAGCAACGTTGGTATCTTAGAAACTGCAGCTTCTGTTCCAGCCACATCTCCCATCAAAATTAGTGTTTGGGGTGACCTGACAGAACTTGAGACCTTGAAAAAGGACAAGAGCTGAAGGGGTGTAACCTTGGGGCTCTTGCATTGGCTCCGAAGGCCTGTGCAGGTGAGCAAGGTGGGGTTCAGAGCGGTCAACTGCATCTTGTAGTTGCTGGTGTTGGCTCGGATGTTGAAGTGACCTAATTCAGCGTACGGCACATGGAACTGGCCGCTGTGTCTGAAGCGGCCCTGGGTAGAAGTGGTGACAAAAGTGAGCCACTTTGGTTGGGAGGGAAGGCAAGAAAGAATAGGCTGAGCTGTCCATCTCCCCTTTCCCCCCTCCCTTTAACGAGAGTGCCTGAAGCTCCTGTGGCAGCCGCCCTGGCTAACCAAGAAGGGGACGGTTACTAGAGGTGAGCTGCAAATGTCAAGCCCCCTGAGAAAGAACATTTCTGCTCATAGGGCTCAGCTGCCGCGGTAAGAAAGGACTGAAGTTTGTGATGCCGGTGTTGTGAACAGATCTTCTCTTTCTGGCAATGGCAGTTGGGTACCGCTTGCAGATACTGAATTAATTGCTCAGACTGGACAGATTTAATATAACAATATGTGTCATTTAAAGAAAATTGTAGATTAAAAAAAATAGAAGAAGAGATAATAATAACGCAGAATAGGAGATTTAAGATACTTAAGCACCGTAACTTTGCAAAAGCTACAAAACTTTATGTAGTGCCTTTGTTGTCCACTGCACCA